AGTGCGCCAAACAAGTCGGAGATATGTCTACAACTATTCTATGTTGCGAGAAATAATCAGGTCACACCCGCAGTACTGGTGCCTGACGGGTGCAACAGAACAACTTGTTGCACCCGTCATGTTCTGGCCTACCAACTCCTGCCCCATCATTTATCACATCCGATTGATGCAATGTGATGAATTGGATGCACTGAAAAGCAGCGTTGATGTGATTTCTTTCTGTTCACACGTACGTCGTGTTTCTTCTCAGAACTCGCACTATTCGGGATGCTGCTGCGAGCCGCATTATGTGTAGTTTGCTCAACAGTTCAAAAGCTAGGAGTTTAGTACACTGATATGTATCCGCTCTTGAGGACTGCGACTGGACACTTATATCAAGTGGTCGTTAGCGAAAGGGGGATGGTGAAGGAGCAACTCCTACAAGATGTAAAACTTGGAACATGTCTTATTTGGTCAACCATGTCTGGTATGATGGTGTGATATGGGGTATGACTCTCTTGCCCAGGTGGAGAAAATTGCTGCACACGGTGGAAGCTTAATTGCGTGCTTTTTGTCATATGACCTGTCGTCCAGGATAGGTACTCACACGCAATGTTTAGGTAGCTAGGTAGGTAACATAGGTACCTACCTCCTCAGCCAATAGAAAAACAAAATCATGACCAAAGATCTCCACTCTCCAAAATACACCCTTTATAAGTCCGGCGATATAGCTCCGGCGCAGGCGCGAAGAAAACAGAAGACCTGTGTATGTAGATGTAAGCGAGAGATGACGCTAGGGTTGACTGGTCGAGCGCCTGCGCGCTAACCTAATCTTAGGTAGTGCGGGTCCGGAGGCTTTGTTGACATTCATCCCGCCATCCCAATTCATCCCCAGTCAGAACTGCGTGCAACGCCTCGCGTCTCATGTGTCGCTTTGAGCTCCTGAGTCTATTAATTGAATTTGTCGAACGAATCGTGGCGCGGAAGAAGGAACCTGCGGAAACCACAGATCTTTCCCCGCGACCATGCTCCACGAAATTCTCCTCTCGCTCTCCGGACACCCCTCTGCACTCTTCGATACCCCCAGCCACGTGACATCGTCTGCACATCGTCTCCTATCGCCGCCTGAAGCAGAGCTTTTAGCTTCAATCGGACACTTGTCACATTTGCACCAGAAAGCGCGCGAGCACGTGGCTAGAATTGCTTCGTCTCATCCTTCAACTGTCTGCCGCGCAGTGGCTACTTCGATTACCTCACATCATCTTGAGCTGTTCCAGCGCAAGGTACTGGAGGTCGAAAGCCGAATCCTGAAGCAAGATGCCTCGACTGTCGGTGCATACAATATCGTACCGCTAGCTGGCATTGTTAGCGAGTTCTCTGAATGGATTCGGGTGATGGAGTGGCTGTGGGACATCAGCAATTACATGTTACCCTTGGATTTCCCTCCTCAGAGCAAGAGGATAGACAGAAAAGCTGCAACGGGGGCCGAAATCATTGACAAGCTACGGACTGAGGCTCAGACAGGCTATCCCGACATTGAAGATGTCGCTCGAGGTCTGACTAAGGTTGCAGAAACATCGTGGCTGAGACAACTGTCCACGTGGCTGTTGTACGGCCGTCTTCCTCCATTTGGTGGCTCCGACTTCTTCATTCAACAAGAAGACGAAGATGCTGATAATCAAGTCTTCGTCCTGCAAAACAAGCTCCTACCAAAGTTTGTGACAAGACAAACGGCGCTCTCCATATTATTCGTTGGGAAATCGCTCAATCAGATTCGTTCCCTGCCGTCCGCCGTGAAGGCACAGGACGTCTCAAAACCTGTCTCGGAACTAGATCTACTACCCAAGCACGTCGAGCAACTCTCCCAAGTGAGCGCCCCAATGTCATCGGCAAAACTCTCCGAAGCAATCGCAAACATTCGCCTCTCGCTCTCTCAGAATCTTCTGCAGCACTTACTTCCTCGTGAGAAGATTGTCGAAACGTTGACTGTTTTGCACCAATTCTTCCTTATCGGGCGCGGCGAGTTCGCCCTAACGTTGATAGCGGAGGCGGACGACAAGGTTTCAACGCGCCTTCGGCCAACAAAATCTAGTCAATCTGTCAAGGGTCTCCTACTCAAGGAAGCGGAGATCAACCAGATCTTGGCACGCTCGTTCTCTATTCTCTCCACCTTGTCTAGTGAGGACGAACATACCGATGACATCCTAGACGTTGCAATGCAGCTGTTGCACCTCACTGTAACGAGCTCATCGAACCATCGACCTGGTACACCAGGCCGTGCTAAGGATGCAGACTCGACGCTTCCGCGGCTTGCGGACTTGTCTTTCGATGAATTGCTGCTGTCCGTGCCAACATCCCTTACTATGGATATTCGTTCACCGCTCGACCTGTTCATAACAAAGGCAGATCTCGATGTCTACGCATCGATCCACACTAGTCTACTTGCAGTCCGCCGTGCCCACCTGCACTTGGCCCAATTGTGGCGACACAGCTCGATACGACGAGATCATCCATGTCCTCCAGGCTACAAGTACAGCAACTCTGTGTACGGAAAAGCCATGCTCAAACGGCGCCGTCAACGAACCACGACACGGACACGAGAGATGCGCAAGATATGGGCAACGTGTGCGGCAGCTATCTTCTTCTTAGCGGAGAGCGAGTCGTACTTCCAAGGGGCGGTGGTACAGCAATCATTCAACCATTTTATTACGTGGGTCACTGGTCCACAGAATATATCATCGACAGAAAAAGGTCCCGTAGCTTCATGGGTCCCTTCTTCTCCCGGTTTCCGGAAATCCACCACTGAAAGTGATATACAGCAGCAACACGATCCGGAGGCACTCGCTTCGGCCCATCGTCGCTTTCTGTCCTCAGTTGCGTACTCTCTTCTTCTTACCGACCAGGCCTTTACGAAGACATTACGTACATTATGTACACATGTAGACGAGTTGGTCGCATACATTACACGCCTCACGAGCATTCAGCAGAACTTAGATCTCGAGGAAGATGAAGGGGTAGAGGATTATGCTCAAAACTACAAGAAAGAAGAACGCGAGGTTAGTTTGGAGATGGATCGCGCAAGGAAGAGGCTTGATAGCGACCTCAAGGCGCTGGTCGAGCGCTTGAGGGAGATTGACAGCGAAAGGATTGGAGCCTCTGCACCCGGCACGGTAGGTGGAACCACAACGGAGGAAGGAGCCTATGAACCGCTTAGAGTTGGCGGCATTGATCGTTTGCTTATGAAGTTGGATTATAGCGGAGAGGATGAAGAAGATGAGGAGATTGAAGACCTGGTGTGATCCTCAATGTAGGACTAAACTAATGACCAACGGCATACCTTTTTGCATTATGGTGCATTGGTGCATCACCTTGGCAGGCGCGATCATTGATATGAACTTTAGCGGCGCTTGCTTGCTTTACGACTGTCGCCGCTGCTCTCCTGTATAAGTTAAAAAGTAAGGAGGACCCGGTTGATAGAGACAAGACCAACCGGCCTTTACTTCGCTCATGCACCACGGACATCACTCCGCAACATCTCCGCATAAATCCTAGGTAATCCATGCACCAACAATCATCGTTGCTGTTTTATTGATAAGTCTAAGTCGATTGCTTCCGAAGATGCATCATATCAGTCATGTCGTCTCGCTACCTGGAAACCGTTACAGTCTCAACAACAACAACGATACACGATTCAATCCTACTCACTTGCTAGAAATGTGCACTGCCGCTCAATTTCACGCTCATTCGCCGCCGCTAGGGTCGCGTCCTCCGAGCCCTCCGAGCGGGCTACGTAAACAGTCCACGCTCAATCCCCTCGTTCTCTCACGACAAGACTCTGGAACATGGTCAGGCTCGTATGCGGACACGTACTCGGACTTGTCATTTACTCCTTCGTCACTGCATCGTCAGCAGTCCTGGCCCAATCCCTTCGAAGACCCCTCATATGTCTGGCATTCACCAACGGGATCTGTACCTGCCTCTCCGCACGAAAGTCGGGCAGCATTGGTTGGAGGAACCAAGCAACTTAACAGACTCAAAGCTAGGATGGTAGACGAGCTGGCGGAACGTCTACGCTTGAGTTTGAAGACTCTTCTGACCGGGCTCAAGAAGGTTGGCTCCCGCCGCAAGAAGCCTGCTCGAATTACAGGAAAAGACATCGAGTACTATTCCATGACTTGTCCGCGACGTGTCTTCGGCAATTAATCGAGACCACAAGGTCGCATGCTGTCATGGAAACTGCGGTCTGTCAGCGGTCTAGGGACCGAGCTTGAGCTTGCGTAAAGTTGGTTTGGACATTGGCGTTTCGATTGCAGATTGCGGCCCTAGATCAATACTTACAGTATTTCTTGTCATCAATATACAGGTTTCTTGTCGTTCAAAAGTTTTTTTTATGCTTGATGTTACTACGTAAACACTGTTCTTGTCATCCGATTGCAAAACGCAAGCCCACAGACACATGCACCAAGAGTGCCTGAATCGAGCTCTCTCCTACTACTTTTGGAATCTGTCAAGGCACATTTCGTGGCCATGAACAGTCTAACAACACTGTTCGCATTGCGACCCTCGCTTATGACAGGCCCGCTCTATGATGCCCTTCGCACATCACATATGTATCTTGTATATGCCCCTCTGCGCCGGATACGCCCGCATGTTCCAAGGTTTGTAGATGTGATGGATTTGTGCACTAGCAAGCAACAAATAGGTCAATCTCGAAGCACTTACTTAGGTACCCTGCGATAAGCAAAGACCACTCTTGGAAGTACTCGAAAAGGCACCAAAGATAAGAGAAACCCATGTAAACCTATTGCATCCATGGTCGAAACGCCCCAAATAGCCCAATGTGTGCTCAGGGCTACAGCCGAGGTGCAGTTTACATTATAGGTCAAAGCAATGAATAAGCTCTTCAGATAGTGAGGAAAGGCACCTAGTGGTGAGGGCTTCGTATGAAGCTACAAAAAAGAGAAATGTAAAGGTCTCTGCAAAGAATCTAACGAACGCGAGCAAAAAAGAAATCATGCCTGAGGTCGCGCCCGGGTTCGAACCGGGGTTACCAGAATGTTCTGAGAAGTCAAAATCTGGAGTGATAACCACTACACTACGCAACCCTTGAATTATGAGTTGAACTTCAAAAATTAATATTATATCAAAAATTCAATGCACTCGGTCCCACATCAGCTGGCAGCGCTATGTGTCAGAATAATGCGCGTTCCAAAATCTGTTAGCGTACGACAAAAAATGCTAGGATAGGTGAAGGGCGAAGTGGGGCTTAGCGGAAACTATAATAGGTAAGAAGACCTGATGTGATTACGTCAGGGCTAACCTCCCGCCTAGCTGTTATTGCGGACGCAACAAACACGCTGCGCTTACAATTCGGAACAGAGAGCTGCTGCTATGCTGTGGGCAGTCAAGCAGCGGTCACCCTGGTTTAAGTGTCCCAAGACGCGCGGGGCGAAAGAAGTACCTAAGTAATGTTAGGTACCCCTACGCGTGCGTGCCATCGCACGACGCAAACGAACAACTGATTATGTAGGCATGCGGTTCATCAACAGCCAAACAAGATTCAGCGTCAGCCTCAAAAGGAACAGGGTCAAAAATCATCCCTGAAACGTGCGCCAAGCCATACGTCAGAGCATGGTAATTCAGAGTAGGCACAGTGGGCGCGAGATGCGCACGAGAAAACAGAAAGAAAGTGTTGTGCAATCTCTGGGTACTGTAAATTTGTTTTGACATGGGCAGTCATAAAGCTCCTTCATAGGCGTGGATACTGCGATGAGTATAGAAATCAACCGTCTCTCCCTCGGGGCCACCTTCAACTTCACGGCTGATAAGAAATCGGCCGTTAGAACCGCGCAAGTCGTTGATGGAGGAGACGGCGATGAGCGGTCGAGTACCCTCTCCCCGTCAAAGACTCTGGTTGATGAAGACGCCGAAGCGGTATCATTCCACACGATCGATTGGCTAAGAGGAGTCGGAGACATCTGCAATATCCCATCAAGAGAAGCCACCAACAAAAGCACCGTGTCCCGGAAACATAACATCGTCTGCGAACCACCAGAAGGTGGCGAAAGATGGGTCAAGACGACTGGTAACTCGGGACGACGTGCCTCCTCGAACAAGCGGCGCAGCGCTCTCCGTCGACATTGCGACTTCTGGGATGCCGATCAGGACGGCGTGATCTATCCCTGGGACATCTTCATAGGCTTCCGCAGGCTGGGCTTCCCTATCGCGTTATGCCTGTGGGCAGCCGTCACCATGGCCATGTGTTTCTCGTATAGCACCCAGAGCTCGTACCTACCACACCCGTTGTTCGCCATCTACCTCGACAACGTCCACCGCAACAGACATGGCAGCACTACAGGCGCATATGATCTGAACGCCGAGCTGGACACACGGCGCTTCGATGCCATCTTCGACAAGTATGCACAGGGCAAAGAGTACATGACATGGCGAACCCTGTACAAGGTATGGTCAGGTCAGCGTTGCGCAAACGACTACTTTGGATGGGTGGCTGGAGGGCTGGAATGTGAGTGCAGGCCGGGCTCGTTTGGTATCCACGAGCCTACAGACCACTAACATGGCCAGGGATCGCCATGTATATTCTGCTGTGGCCCCATGACGGGCGAATGTACAAAGACGACATTCGGGGTGTGTACGATGGCACCGTTTTTTGGAAGATCGCGGAAGCTCGGGCGCAAGGGCAGAAGCAGCCAGACCTATGGAATTAGTCTCAGGAAGCTATGGCTCTCCTGCAGCATTCCGATTATTGTAATCTATCCTCTACCATCGGATACATAGAAGACGAAACGTTCATCAGTACCGGGAAGGTGATTTGTGATAGGTCATCAGGAAGTTCACGATTGGCCATGATTACCAAGAGAGAGCCCGGTACTCGGGCGTAGCAAAACCCAGGCCAGAGAACCACGGTAGATTCTATCGATACCCTAGAATAAGGGGTTCCAAGTGATAAAACACAGTGCGAGACCGGAGGATATCAATGTTGGCCGAACACCTTTCTACCCTAGGCGTCCGGCACCCTCTGACACTTCATTGAACAGCCTAGAGATACTTAATACCAGGCTTTCGCCAGCCTTGACAACGCCTGGAAACGAATCCAAATGGCGGCTTCAAAAGCTGAAACATGGCTACCCAACTTCCCACCCCGATACAGTCCAGCCGCCTCATCCCGTCTCGCCACCACCTCACGACGCTTCAACACCAAAATCTGTAAGGGTACTACCAAGCCCCTCGCCTTCGATCGCTTCAAGCCCATATCATGGTGCGATTTCAAAATACCCAGCACAGACGAACAAATCCGCGCCGACACGTACGAAGGCGTGCCCATGTACCCGATACCCAGTTCGCATGATGGCTTTACCATTGTTCGCCGCTATCTGTATAGCGCGCTGACCGGCACGGGCTGGGGCATTAGCGGTAAGTATCCCGCCGCTGTGCGAGCTACGGTTGAGGGCTGGTACGGAAATGGGCGTTTTTTTCGAATGCAGTGTGAGGAGCAAGACGGGTTGAAAGACCTTTGTCCGCCTGTTGGACGGGATTCCGAGGGGTTTGAGGTCAGTTTTGATGCAAGACTGAGGGATTTGATTCGCAATTGTGTAAGGTATGAGAGTCATGTGCTTTTGCAGCAAGACATGGGAATTGGGGATGCGGGTTCTGCTGCGAGGTCGTATGAGGACGATTTGGAGATTCAGTATGTGGGTAGAGACCATAAGGATGAAGAGGGTGTGGGTGGGAAAGGGAAAATGCATGATTTGGTTGAAAAAGCGGAAGCAGTAGCAAAACAGCCTCATGGTCGTTCAGAGAAGGAGCCGGATACGGAACTACCAGAAGGGCCGGTTGCTCTGGACGCAGACGACTGTTCCGTGTATACTGAAACCGCAAAAGAAGATACTGCACCTCGTCCCGGCTCACCTCGCCGCGATAGCGGGTTTTCGGCTGATGTTGCCAAGCAAGAAGCCGATGGCAAGCAGGACTTGGCCGCACCCTACACAAGTCTTATCGCGCATAAGATAGAGCTGGCTCCCCCCCTGGAACCGATACGTCGTCCTCACCTCTGGGAGCCCCGGGCAAAGCCATCCTATCATGAGCAGTCATTCCACCATCAGCAACGACCGAATGAACAAACGCGAACCTCTCCCGTTAGATCAAGACGGAACCCGACGCTCCCGGAGCCTGCGAGAAAGCCATGCCATGACGCGCGCCCATATCGTCAACCAAAAGAAGACATGCCTAGTCTCCAGCGCAAAGATTCTATAAGTTCTATAGCTAGCATGGAATCAGGGTTGAGCAAAGTATCCACCAAGCGCGCCGAATTCCCCGTCCCCACTGCTCGAGGAAGTGGTGCCGCCTCCTCCTCCACCCTCTCTCAGAACCCACCAGCTGGGTACAAACATAAGCGTCGTGGCGTCACACAGGCTGGTAATTTGAAGAGCGTTTCACCGCTCGAAACGCGCCTCGAAGCCGCACAGGAAACTAGTGCTAGCAGACAGCAAGAAGCAATAGCAAGCAGGAAAGCGGAAGCGAAGAGAGAGGCAGCCCTGGAGGCAAGAAAGGAGAGACAGGGCCGAGCGCTGGACGCCATACTCGCAGACGGTCCGCTGGAACGCGAAATGGTAACTGGCATGGCTGCGGCGAAGAAGGAAAGGCAGCAGAGGGCGATGGATGCCATGTTTGCAGACAGGCCGCCACGAGACGGCAGGCCGGTGGTGAAGAAGGATAGCGGAATGAGAGAGGGAAGAGAGGGAAGAGAGGTAGGAGAGGTAGGAGATGGTGGTATGATGAATACTGCTGTGTCAGTGGCGAAGAGGGCGGCGGCGTTGGGGTCCAACGTGGAGGACGTGAAGAAGTTGAATCATCATGAGCGGTTCAAGGGGAAGACGTCCGGAGCGTTGTTTTCGAGGGTGTTGGGGAGGAAGAAGTAAGGTTGGGTTGGGTGTTCAGTATGTATTTGTTTTCTCAGGGGCTCTCAGCCGAGTTTGCTCCGGGCTGTTCTGAGTAGGCGGGCACGCGGGAAAAAGACGATGTAGCAATGCAGAGCGACAGGGCTGATGTCATGTTGCGTCGTTCAGCAACGGTGTCCGGTCACTACTTGGTGCCGTCCCATTTCCGTTGGCGTCACCTACCGACTCGTCTCTCCGGGCGCGGCGGTCTCTCCACACGAAGCCCAAGCTCATAGCTAGTAGACATGCTTGAAGAAGGCCGGTGAAGATGAACAGCCCCCACGCGCTCCAGCCTCCTCTACCGAGCCTAGCATACAGGCTGGCGGCGAAGACAAAGCTGCCGGGCGTCTGTATGCACATCATGGGTATGGAGAGACTGCCCGTCTCCTGCAGGCGCCATGTCATGAAGATCTGCGGTATGTACTGGATAGCCGCGAGTATGGTAGCGAGCAAGCCGAGGAAGTTGGCCCAGCCGCGGACGTGCGACGGAAGCGCGTAGACGAAGACGAGGGAGCCGACGAAAGTGACGACGAAGAAGGTGAGCGAGACGGCGAGGACGAGCACGGCTTCCTTCCACGTGGGCATGTCGGTGTCTTGCTCCTCTTGCACGGCGGGGGAGGTGCCGCGGGGGAAGAAGATGAGGAAGAGCAGCATGCTGGTGGTCGTCAGTCGCGCTGCCTACTGCGGAAAGCGAGGGTGCGGTCACATGAAGAAGAAACACGACCACTGCACGCCAATCTGCACAATGCCCAGCATCGCCGCCGCGCACGGGAAGCTGCCCATCTCCCTGCAGCAGGCCATGTCGGCGGTGCTCTCAGGCAGCGTCAGTATGTTGGCGATGCTGGCCGTCCCCGAGACGGTCCCGAGCAGGACAAACATGGGGCTGAGGCCGCGGGACGAGCGCCGCGATATGATCTTGTAGTGTTGGGGGAGGTACGAGACGAGGATGCCGACGACGATGAAACTGGGGGCAGGGGCGGTTAGCTAGGTGCCCTGTCCTATGTCTGCATCGGGAGGAGCAGGCCTACACGGAGACGGCGAAGTTGACTAGATCGGGATCGGCCAGTTGGCGGCATCGCGAGTCGTCTGGAGGGGCCATGGCGGTGTTGACAGCAGTGTTGTTAGCCTTGCACTTGGGTGATGTGGTGGGT